TTCAAAATATCCAATAACTGCAATTTCCGTGGCCTCGCTTATTATGAATTCTTTTTTTGCACTTGTTTTAGTAAAAACATTTTCGTTGCCCCTAAATTTTCGATAAAGTCTCAGAAAATATCGTTCATACGGTTGAATGCGAGCGGGATATAATTCACTGTAGAATTCTCTTGCTCTCAAGGAGGATTTTCTGCACACTAAATAGCATTCTAACATATCACACTTTTCTTCATGGGAGAACATTTTTCTTTAAATTAATGACACAATAAAGCTTATAAACAAGTATTTACACTAATGTTTGACATTATTTGATTTTATCATTGTTTTCCAAAGCCTTCTAGTTGCGAGTATGTCCAGTTTAACAATTTGTCGCTTATCTTAATGCTGTCAAATCGCGAACGCCATGTTGTTTTCATAGCCGTCTTAATATTATAATACTGCAAATAATTAAAAATATTTATCGTTATTTTGACTTTATTTTTGACTTTAGCGGAAAAGTCATTATGAACTTTTTTGTTTAAAATTTGATGCTTTAACAGAAAAAATATAATATACAGGGGTTTCCATTTAAAAAAATGTTATTTTACTGAAAAAAATCAAAATAACGACTCTCAATTGTTTTTTTTTATTTCTCATTTTTACCAGCGTTAAAAATGCTACTAGTTTGCTAATTCAAACAACTTTGTATTTTCACTAATAACAAAGTTACTAATGGTGGACACTTAATTTGGATAACCCTGTATATATATATATATACCATAGCAGGACGTGGTTTCAACAAGATGGCGCAACATCCCATACCGCCAACCAGTTAGCGGTTGTAAAGGAAATATTTAGTGGAAAACTGATACCGCGACGAGCTGACTTTCCGTGGCCTCCCCTTAGCTCAGATCTCACACCAGTGGACTTTTTCTCTGGAGATACCTCAAGACCCGCGTTTACGCCAATAAACCGATGATGACTGTCCAGCTCAAGCACAACATTTCCGAGCGACGTGCCAGCGAGTTTTGGCGAATTTAAAGTCGAGATTCGAAGATTGCGTACGTCTCGATTACTCACATCTCAATGATGTTATTTTTAAAAAATAAAATTCCCATGTTCTATTTTATTAAAAATATAAATTATCACTCCTACGCTTTGCAGTTTTTTTATGATTTTTTTTAAAATCCGCTCAGCCTAATGGCCATAATTTCTATGGGTGGTAACGTTTTTGCGTGCAAAAATCGGATGACCACAAGAATTTCGCACCTGGCGGTGACGGCGATGAAAAGCTCCATTGCGCATGGCTGTCGGGCCGGTACTGAGCACGATACACGTACACTGAACATAGGATGTTGCGCATGTGGGCGGAGCTTCGTGACGTCACCTTGAGAGTTGACGGCAGGGTTCTCGTAACCTTACTGCAGTGCACGTGTATCATGGATATATAGTGCGATTTGTTGGTGGTTTTGTGACTTGTATCAGTTATACATACTTTATATACCCTGTGTGGGGGTAAGTTGATAAAAATGCGGTGGGAAATGTTGTGGGATGTAATTCCATCAACCTATCTAAACGGAATCCTTACAGTTTTCCTGAAAACCCAAACCTTAGCAAAAATCGCTATATCTTACAAAAAGAAAAGTCAATGTAAACAGCGCTAGGGTTTGCTCGAAGTACTTTTGTGAATGAGCCTATAAGGTCAATTTGAAACATCCCTTTTGAGATACACCCCTGAAAGATATCGTGCTGTAAAAGATGATGCCATTCCTACGGAAAATTTACTTCTTTATCATCACTTGGACCTTCTATATTTGTTGTAGGGGAAACGCGGAAAAGTGCTCACGAAAAAAGACAAAGGGCATCAAAGAACTGAATAAAAGATTGAAAGACCAGGAAAATCGTAAAAGGAAATGGTATTGTTATACCGCCAGCTTACTGCAAAACTCCATTTTCCTACTTTTCGAGATGCATACATTTTCACAATTCATGTACTTAGGATACGAAAATATAGCTAATATAGAAAAATGGAGTTATCTTGTTTTCACAGTAAAGTGACGATACGCTCTATTGTGGAAAGCCATTTAAGCTATAGCCTGTGAAATAGGAATTACAAGGTTGAAATCTTTTATTTAAATCCGCCATTTCGTTTTGTAAGTATAAAATTTTAATGTAGCTTGTGTTACTCGCACCGCTAAGACGAATCCAACGACACTTCATGTGTGAAAATCCGTCCAGCCGTTTGGACTGTAGGTGAAAATATGCAATATCAACGCAAATGAGAATCACTCTCAGCGTGACGTCATGCGCGGCGACGGAGCGGAAAATCGGACAGCTGAGCATCCGGCACTAGGTACTGAGCATCGCAAATAGGCGCTTCTTGGGATCGGTGGTGGGGGACCTGACAAACACGACAGTGTTGCCAGATTTCGTCCAGCGTCATGCGCGGCAAAGATACAGCATCGGGAACCTTAATTTTGATACATACCTCTAAAGACAATTTGGGCCACTATGGAATTAAAAATCGTATCATGAAACTTTACCAACAGTATGGAAATACCTTCGAGAGCGACTTTTTCAATTAAAAAAGGATAACATCGAGGTGTTAACTACCCTGTGTAAGATTTCTATCATTTTCAATAATAAGCATTTTGTTTCATATTAAAAAGCTTCACCATGCACCGTTGGTCTTCTTTCTATATTTTGTCTCCTCTAAGGAAATTTTTGATTGCGTTCAAGTCAAGTTTTTGGGTTTTATTGATGTTTTTGTCGCAATGCTGGTACCATTAGACAAGCCTTTCAAAATTTCAAAATCAGCTGATGTTTTTCAAGTTATAGTGGGAATATAGGACCAATGTTTAAATCGGGTTTTTTCTTGTCGATTACCCCATCGCAACAGGACCGATTGACAGGAACTATAAATATTTGTTCTGTGTAGTATAGCAAACATTTGTCATACACGGAGTCCCATAAGTAATAGTAAATAATTTTACAGCAGATTCCTTTCAAAGAAATATTGAGATTAAGTTAAATTTTCTTAGTCCGAAAGTCAAAGGCAACCAAGAAACATGGTGATAAACTTATTGTGGTTTTTTTGAATTTTGGTCATATATACTAAGTGACATATAAATCCGAACACCCAGTTTAAATGGTTTTATTTTAATAAAATTTTGTATAAGTACTTAATGAAGCATAATAAGTAAATGATAAAAATTTTAAAATGATTGCACTGCTTTAAAGCCCTTTGACCTTTAATAATGTGTGGATGCACCCTGATGTGCTACGCATTCTCCAACGCGCCTAGGCATGCTTCTGATCAGGTGGTCAATGTCCTCCTGTGGTATATCATTCCAGGCAACCACCAACTCCTCTCGAAGTGCTTCTAGAGTCTGAGGAGGACGTTGCAAATTGAGCAATCTCCTACCCATCATATCCCACACGTGCTCAATTGGGGATAAGTCGGGAGATCTTGGTGGCCATGGTAACAATGTGACATCATTATGTTGAAAGAAGTCTGTTGTGTCTCTTGCAACATGTGGTCGGGCATTATCTTGTTGGAAAGTTGGATCTGCCAGGGTGTCAAGATAGGGTAAAAGATGGGGTTCTAGAACTTCGTGGATATATCGCTGCGCGTTCATGTTACCTCTGATGAGGATTAAAGGTGACCTGGAACCATAAGCTATAGCACCCCAAACCATAACTCCAACAGTGTGATGAACATGTCTTTCAACAAAAAACTGTGGATTCCTCCTTTCACCACGTCGCCTTCTAACCCTGGCACGACCATCGTGCATGCCTAAACAAAATCGAGACTCGTCACTAAAGACAATACTGTTCCATTTCTGATCCCAGAGTGACCGTTGTCTACACCATTCAAGGCGATTACGTCGGTGTTCTCGAGTTAAAGGGAGGACCCAGTGTGGCCGGTATGAAAACTTCTCATTCGTCGCTAAACACTTCGCATGCCAATAGGTCTTCCGTGTTCTGCAAACCATTCATTTGCAATGGACCTGGTAGTGGAGAAACGGTCCCTTAAGGCCAATAATCTTAGGCGGCGATCTTCACGGTCTGTTGTTCTACGGCGGCGTCCAGTGCCCCTTGCTCTTTGCGTACGGCCTTCTCGAAGCCATGCCTGACAACACCTAACCACAGTGTCTACACCTCTTTGCACTCTAACTGCAATTGCCCGAAAAGAAAGTTCAGCTTCCCGAAGTCCCACTATACGGCCCCTATCAAACTCACTGAGTTGACGAAATCGTACAGGTCTCCGTACTCTAGGCATCGTAACCGATCGTAAAGGATGTCAAGAACCAAAATCCGCCAACGTTGATTCTTTATTGCGGCTGAAATATTCATTTTTAGAGCGTTAGTGATTTAAAAAAAGCAGTATAAAAACCGGAATGTCCAACTGATAAGGCTGAAAATTTTTTCACTTGTTATTTACAGTAAGATAAATACATTCACCAACTTTTATTAAAATAAAACCATTTAAACTGGGTGTTCGGATTCGGATTTATATGTCACTTAGTATTACTCTTTCTTGTTTTAAAAGCTTATTAAAGATTTTTAAAGTATACCTCTTTTTAAGCGAACATGATTGCACAATGCATATTTTAAATAAAAAAATAAATTATACCAAGTGTTAAAAAGTTACGAAGTTTAAAAAAGCAGAAAATGCTGCTCATGGCGCCCTCAATAAGGCAATTTGAAAACAGGTCAATCTTTAAACTTGCCGTATAAAAAAATCCTCATGGCAGTTTCGTTAAAAACGAAGAACAAACGCTAAATTTATGACCAAAATTCAAAAAATTACAATAAGTTTATCACCCTGTATCTTGGTTGTCTTTATCTTAATCTTAATCTCAATATTTATTTGAAGGACGTCTGCTGTTGAATTATTTATCATTACTTATGGAACACCCTGTATATTATCTCGAGTGTCGCTTTCAAGTATTGCAAACGACTAAATTATTGATACGGTAAGAAAAATGATCGTTAAACGCAAACACATTAAAAAATACCTTGGTTGTGATAGTGAGGTAGCCTCTATTATGCAGGATATCAGTGTCCTGCCTTGCTGTGGCTGGTGGATGGACGCATATATTATTCTTGCAGAAAAGCACCTCGTTATCCTCATACTGTATATCCTTCTGATCCTCTTCAGGACGAAGAATATACCAGGATGCTCTCCGAATGATGTCTGTCAATGGCATCGTGGAGAACTACAACAAGACGCATATATATTGTTATGTTCCAATGTGATACGTACTTGAATTTAAAATTACAGGTTTTGATTTATTATAGTGAGAGTGGTGTATAAAAAACTTGAGTTCTCGATGAGATGGAAATTCGTATATTTTTTTGGTTCGATGAATTAACCTTTTGAATCAAATATGCCGGATGCTGCAGAATGTGAATTATCATTTGTATAGTACCCCCTATGATATGGATATCAAATGAAAGGGCTTGACAAGACAAACTTAATAAGCTAGGAGACGTCATCATTAATCCAATATAGCGGCTGTCACACAAGTTACATATTATCTGGTTATGGTTATAATCTCTTCATTCTGGAATATTCGACAGATTTCAGCTTTGGGGACAAGCCCAACCAACTTGTAAATACTTTTTCTTATTTCTGATTTATACATCTTAAAGCGAAAACTTCAGAATAAATAAATGTCAACTCACAGTAAAGTAAGTAAACAAACCTTTGTTTCCAAAGACAACTTGATATTATTTTGTGTTTGTTAAAATTAAAGCCAATGAATGTTGTGCCAAAACTCTCAGGACATACGTTTAATTTTTATGGGTTGAGAAGTGATGTTGCCTGAGTTGGTCTAGATATTAAGAAAGGTACTCCAGTTTCCCATAATTATTGATTTGATAAGTTGTATCAACTGCTGTTAACTCTGCAGATTTCTAGTGTCTGTATTAACCATGAGTGAGGTATAGACTCAAAGGCTCTCCGATTAATCAATAACATATATGCATAATGCTGTGATCTCTGCTTAATTTTAGCTTGATGCATTAGTATTACAGCAGACGCTCGATAACGTAAACACGGGATAATGAAAACTTGCGCTAATGTAAACACAAACTTCGTTCTATAGGATCAAACGGAACGCGCGATAACGTAAACAATGTGTACGCTCGATAACGTAAACAACTCTCGGCGCACGGAAACGGCGCGACGGTAAAATGCTGAAGCCTCGATGATTTATGTCGGGCGTCGGGGAGTCCCCGATTTATGATGTGCAGTGTAGGGGATTCACCTCTGCGATAAAATGCGACAAACTCGGTCAGTCGTATGATCGTTTAGGATACGTTTATACGTACGTATGTATTTCATTTTTGAACTTAAGTGACTACATTGCACGCGTTAATATATTTTACGACTATGGCATCCACATCCTATAAAAGAAAGTGTTTAAAGTTGAGTGAGAAAGTAAAAATCATAGACGAAGTTGCACTAGGTGCGGGAGTGACACAGTTACCAAAAAAAATATGGAGTATCGAAAGCAACAATCTGTAAAATTAAACGTATTAAAACTCAAATTTTACAAAGAACGTGCAATACATTTGGAGGTCCGGGGAAAAGAAAATCTTAAAAAAATGCGAAGGCACCTAAAATAGAAAATTCCCTGTATAAGTGGTTTTTAAAACAACGGGAAAATCATGTCCCAGTTAGTGGCGAAGTACTTAAATAGAGAGCGAGACTGTTAAATGGAAAACTGAAAGAAACTGAAAATTTCGTAGCTAGTGATGGCTGGCTACAAAGATTCAAAACAAGATATGGAATTCGACTGCTGTCTATATCTGGTGAAAAATTATCGGCACAACCACAATTAGTGCAACCATTCAAAGAAAAATTGGTGAAAACAATTACCGAGCTAGATTTAAGAATGGAACAAATTTACAACGCAGATGAAAGTGGCCTTTATTGGAAAATATTGCCAGAGAAAACCTATGCTGCATCATTTGAAAAATCTGCCCCGGGAAGAAAGCCGGAGAAACAACGAATAACGTTTCTAGCCTGCACTAATGCTAATGGTTCACACAAAATAAAGCCACTGGTAATTGGGAAAGCAAAAAATCCGCGCTCATTTAAAAATGTTAATATCCCTGTTGATTAAGACTGTTCAAAAACCGCTTGGATGACTAGCAGTATATTCCTGAAATGGTTCCACAGGTGCTTTGTCCCTCAGGTATGACAATCAATTATCACAAATGCTCTATTCATAATTTGAAATGTGTTTTCAATTTGTAGCTAAAAGGTTTCCTAAAACAACAGCAGCTTCCAATAAAAGCGTTGTTACTATTGGATAATGCAAGTCATCCTCCCGAGCAACAACTGAGGAGCAGGGATGGGTCAATTTTCTTCATGTACATGCCGCCCAACGTAACACCGTTAATTCAACCGATGGACCAGAATATAATAAGACTCACCAAACTATACTATAGGAAGTTTCTACTTTCAATCCTGAAAACTTATCTGAGACTTTAAAAAAAGTAACATTACGAGAAGCAGTTTTAGATTTACATATGGCCTGGAATGAACTTAACCAGCAAACTATTCAAAAATGTTGGAACAACCTCTTTTGTACCAATAATGAAGATGATGAAGAAGACGATGTCCCCTTAAGCGTAATTAGAGAACGTTTGCGATCCGATAATGATAATGTTATTAGTGTGTCATTGGATGTTGTTGATTTAATAAAAACAGTGAATCCCAACATTGTTTGTAGTCCTGCTGATATTAATTTATGGAACGAAGATAAGCAGACGAATGATGCTGATAACGAGGAGGATATGGACAGTGAGGATGATGAGAACGATCCCATTGAAGTCAGAAGTGTAGTGACTGACGCGCAAGCTATACAAGTTTTCAACCAAGCTTTAGATTGGGCTGAAAGAAAAGAAGTTTCATACACGGATATTTTAGTTCTTCGTAAATTACGGGCGCAGGCATTGGAAGACAATGCTAAGCGTAAATTTACGCAGACAATAATTGTTAATTATTTTTCTTCTAATTAAAAAAATACTTATCGCTGTTAGAATATTTGTTTATTTTGTTATAAATAGTATGTATTAAACGTTTCTTTTAATAAATCAAATATTATATAAATCACGTTCGCTAATGTAAACATTTCGATAATGTGAACCACACTTGGATTAAATTAGTTTACATTATCGAGCGTCTGCTGTATTATTATTACTATTTTACTATCATTATTATCATCATCATGATTATCACTAATACTATTATTATTAAATAAAATGAATAATGTAGATCATATAAATTTTGATTTTAACGTCATCAGCTCTCTGCCCATAATCGTTTATACTAATAACGTAATTGCATGTAGGTTGTTTATTATGATGTCTGTAGTGTGGTGATATGTTAATAAATGTTATCAGCTTGGCATACATACATACAGTGGTCGCTGATAACATTCACATGTCTTTGCATTATTTTGCCACCCTTTATCCAAATTCAGATAGATTCGGTTCTTGCATATACGATGCAGGATGATTGCTCGACTCCTTGATAGAATTATTTTATGGATAATAAGGATTAATTATGCAGCGCGAACTCCTCTGGACTTTTTTTGCTTATGGTGTTATTAAAAAACAAGCTTAGCAGCATTTACGAGAATGTTTAATAAAAGCTTTTAGTAAAATTACACTAGAAATGTTACGTGATGTTTCGAATTCTACTGTTAGAAGATCATAATAATAATAATGATAATAATAATAACAATCTATATTTCAAGTTGTACACTGACACTAGAGAAATTCCATAGCTACTACAAGATGAAATGTTTCGTCACTATCATCGTAACTATAGTAGTTTACTTCAGACCTTTTTTTCTTGTTACATGGTTATACAGGGTGACTTCGAAGTTGAGTCATTTATTTTAACAGTGAGTAGATCTGATCAAAAGAAATGTTTTTTCCTTTAACATTTTTGTGGTAAAATTAAAGTAACAAAGTTATAGCCCTTTAGAAGTTTGAGTACCGCCCTGTCTCAATAATAATATTATGTGCTCGTGTTTGGCGACAACGGATATACTCCGCGTTATCGGTTCATCGCATCGGAAACAAAAAAGCGAAAGAATTTGGAACGATGTTTTTACAATTATTTTATTCAGTTGTATACAGTCAGTGTCAGTCGGTAACGCGTGAGTGAATAGTGGTGTCTGTTGCGTGGCTCAAACGAAATAAAAAATGGTACATATTTATGCGGATCGGTTTCCCAATCGAGTGCAACCAACCCCTCGTGCCTTTGTTAATGTCGTACAACGGGCTCGTGAATCAGGTGACTTAAGACCTCACAGGGGACTGCATGCCGGTGCTCCAAGACCTCACGATCAAATACAGGTCCGCACTAAAATACTTGTCGGGAGGATACTTTATAAAACAAGGTAAAACATTTTTTTTTATTTTTACACGCATAATTATCTTAAAACAGCTACAATCTGAAATTATCACAACTCACATAGAACTCATCTATGGTATAAGGCTCTGACTGTACTAGAAAATCGTTAATAGTCTTTTTAAATTTATGTAAACTATTTATGTTTTTAAATTCATACTTATTGAAAAATTTTAAACACATGTAAATAGGGCTTTTTTCTGTAGAGGATAATATACAGGATGGAGCATCGAAAACGAAACAGATGCATTTACTGGCAGCCCAGTTTTTTTTTTGAAAAACGCTCAGACCCGTCGATTTTGTTTTCGAGGCGGACACAAGTTTGGCAAAAAATCACGTTAGCACGTGCAGCCCCCTAAGCGGGGGTGACACCACTCCCAAAATCTTAAATGGAAAACTATGGGCCTTTAGAATCCGTTGGACAGTACGTCGACTAACACCAAATATTTCTGCTGTTCTATTAGCACGCTGATTATTTCTGAAAAATATTTCGATAATTTCAACTCTTTCTGCTGTGGAATATACCATGGTTAATTTATGTAATAAAGCGTTACAAGTTATTTTGGTAACAAAGTTTTTTCAAATCAATCGCAAACTATGTACAAAATTCCTGTTTAAAGTATGTACGAGATATTTCCTTTCTTCAAGAAATAACTCTTGTGCCACAAAAAAACGCTCCAATAGCTATTTTCAACAACAAAATGATAAACAAACTTACTTATTAAGTAAATTCTTTTGGTCAAATTTCTTCTGAAAGTAGTACATACTAATCTGATGTACTTATTAAAGTCTACTTTAAGCTTTAAATCAATAAATCTTCAAAACTAAAGCTCATGTATTTTACATCATTATAGAGGGAATTGAAAGACCTTTAAAATAAGGTATCACTCGACCCCCCTTTCCATTTAAGATTTTAGGGTTGGTGTCACCCCCGCCCAGGGGGCTGCACGTGTTAACGTGTTTTTTTGCCACTTGTGTTCGCCTCGAAAAAAAAATCGACGGGTCTGAGCATAATTTACATTCACTGTTCGAGTATCATAAACAGTTTGCACCTCAAGATCAAATAAATTTTTACACATAGATGGCATATACAGGGTGTTTCAGTTTATTGTTGCATAACTTTAAGATTCGATAGAACTTTTAAAATTAATGCATAAAGTCTATATAAACATGGGTCGAAAAATGCGTGGCTTCCGAAATACAGGGTGTTTAAATTTACTTTTTAAAATAGTTTTTTTTAAATATTTCGAACAATATTTCATGTATAACAATGAAAATTGGTATACAAGGGTTTTTTGATACGACAAAACGAACCATGGGCATAGTGTTACTGTAGCCGCTAGAGGGCGCTCTCTACTGTACCTGTAGTGTATTAAAATGACCGAAAATTTTTTCTTAGTGCAATTTTTTGCTTTTTGAATGGAATCACGTATTCTTCGCACTTTTCTGCATAAAAAAGCTCTCCTGTGAGTTTTCGTTATAGTTAGCCGTTTTTGAGATATTTCGATTTTTAAGGTTCGATGCATTTTCAATTATTTATGGGAAAATAATATTTTTTTTACATTTTCGATTTGGGCATTACAAGTAATTAAGATGATGGTTTAGATTGTGTTTTTAAACACAGCAATAATTCATAACTCCAAAGAAACACAAAAAACAGAATATTAATTCGTTTAATTTTCCAATATTATTTTTAACAAATTAAAATAATTATTTACAACTAAAATGCTATTGGATAGTTAGGACAAACATAAAAAACCTAAAGTAGTTGCTCGAAATGTAAACCCAATTGTTCAATACACAATTCACATCTACGAATGATCGAACGTGGTATAGCATTATTCAAATAAGGCCTTATTTCATAACATGCATTCCTGATTCTGTCTATTAGCATATCTCTTGTGGTTACGGGAGTCTGGTACACTTTTTCTTTTAGAAATCCCCACACAAAGAAGTCTAATGGATTTAGGTCAGGGGATCGTGGAGGCCAGGCGACTGGTCCTCCACGGCCGATCCATCTTTCTGGATAATTTTCGTCCAGCCAGTTTCTATTCTCGAATAATGAGCTGGACAACCATCAAGCTGGAACCAGGCCAATCTTCTTAAATCTAACATAACATCATCCCACATATTTACCACTCCACGTCTAGTGAAGCATGACTTATCGGTCCATAAAACGTTACTTAAAAACTCCCTATTATTATCAGTTCTATCAAGAATCCACTGACAAAATGTGATTCTTCGTTCTTCGTCCCCTGGCTGTAGTCCTTGCACAGGTTGCAAATGGTAAGGACGTCTATGGTCATTTCTAACAACACGGTGAACATGGCTTGCTGAAATTCCCAAGGCACCAGAAACTCTCGTAACACTTGTGGTCGGATCTCTATCAAACTCACGCAGAATCATACGGGTAAATCTGCGCTGACGAACATTTGTGTTTTGATCCGTTTGGAGATTTCCAAAACCATTTTCAATTACTTGGCGATGCACTCTTACAAATACTGAGCGAGTTGGATGTCGTCTGTTTGGAAATCTTCGTGCGTATTCTCTGGCTGCTTCTGCTGCGTTTCCATTTACATAGCCGTACGCAAAATGAATATCCGCTAACTCTTGATTGGAGAATAAAAATGGCATTTTTATAAAACAGGTAAAAGAAACTAAATTTCGTCCATTCACAATTGCAAAAAAACGTTTCAGGTTTCAACAGACAACAAAACTAACTGTCAACTAATTGACGTTTAACCTTATTCTGCTTTCAATTTCAAAAATATTTGCAGGCACAGCCTACTTCTAAAAATTATCGAGATACTGACTTTTTAACGTTATTTTATCATTAATAATTAAAAATGCATCGAACCTTAAAAATCGAAACATCTCAAAAACGGCTAACTATAACGAAAACTCACGATGCAGCTTGTTTATGCAGAAAAGTGCGAAGAATCAGTTTTTTTACTCAAAAAGCAAAAAATTGCACTAAGAAAAATTTTTCGGTCATTTTAATACACTACAGGTACAGTAGAGAACGCCCTCTAGCGGCTACAGTAAAACTATGCCCACGGTTCGTTTTGTCGTACCAAAAAACCCTTGTATACCAATTTTTACTGTTATACATCAAATATTGTTCGAAATATTGAAAAAAACGATTTTAGAAAGTAAATTTAAACACCCTGTATTTCGGAAGCCACGCATTTTTCGACCCATGTTTATGCAGACTTTATGCATTAATTTTAAAAGTTCTATCGAATCTTAAAGTTATGCAACAATAAACTGAAACACCCTGTATATCATAGGCCGGGTACCAGATAAATAATCGAACAGTATTCTAAAATAGATCTGACAAAAACATTAAAAAGTAAAATTAATGTATTAGTATCATTGAAATGTCTACTATTTCTTATAACAAAACCAAGATTTTTAAAGGCTTTTGCTATTATTGCATTCATGTGATCAACAAAATAAAGCTTTAGATCGAATAATACGCTCAAATCCTTGACGATATTAACACGACAAAGAACATTGCTACCGATTTCAAAATTAAAACATGTCGGTTCCACCCTGCGTGTAAACATCATAGTAGTACACTTATTGACATTCAAGTACATGTGATTTACCTTACACCGGTGATCAAATCAGCCCGTAACCTTAAACTGTCTTCTAAGCAGCACGCGCTATTAAAGATTTTGAGGTCATCGGCATATAGCAGGTACTCACAACGCAAGTCTGTTGTAACATCATTGATGAAAATTAAAAATAATAGAGGACCCAGAACAGAACCTTGGGGCACCCCTGATGTAGCTAAAACCGCACCCGACTCATATCCACGGAAGTCCACACGTAATTGTCTTTTACTGATGTATGAATGAAAGAAAGCTAACAATCTAAATGTTAAACCATACTGCAGTAGAACACCGTGATCCAAACGGTCGAAAGCTTTCGAAAAGTCAGTCATTATTATGTAATGTACATCTTTTCAGTAATCACATAATCAAACATGTGTTTGCAACGCCTAAAAAAATAAAAAGAGAACAGGTTTTCTGTATAATTAAGAAAACAAATGTAACTTGTGATACGTCGTTTAATTCGTAGAAAAAGCTGCTATCAGATGCAGGATGCACTTGTTTCCGACCAATTCTCAATAACGAAACATCGGACACAAAATTTAAGAACACCATCATGTAACGCCTAAAAGAAGCCAATGTTCATTAGGTTTGATATTTCTTGAAACAAAGTCAGAAAAAGATAAAAACGGTTTGATCAAAGTTTAGTTGTTTCCAAGTCATTAAATTTTTACAAGTATCTCAACGGCGTGTAATTTAACCTAAGCTGTATCTCGTTCAGGTATTGAGATCTACATGCATAGGATCCGTATTTTGGACACTCTGTAAATGCTTAAATTTCTTCAATTTATTCTACGACTTTTCGATCACCACTTGGTCCTTTACATGTAGGGACTCGTAATATTATAGTGCTCAACTATAAAATAAGATTGAAGGCGTCATTTTGTAGCAATAGAAACTGTACATAAAAATAATAAAGCACATGCATATTCCTACTACTAAAGAAAGAGGAAAATTTGTATAAGAAGTATGATTTACTCAATCATAATTTGTGCATGACTATAACATCTGATAAATAGGTTATTAAATACTGATTTTCGATCAATCAAATCCGTTTCACAAGAACGATTTGCTTCGAGAATGTGTCCGTTAAAATTTGACCTCGATCATGAAACCCAAATCTCCTTAAAGCTCTTTCTAATGGGGTGTTTTGAAAATGTCGAATAGAATCTCTTATTAAAATATGTTCCATCTTCAAGTTGTATATCAGAGCTATTAGAAACATTAGCTCACGGCCTTTAAAAGCAGATAAGTTTTAGTATAACTTTATTTTCTTTCTCCTGTTTCCTATTATTTGCATACAAACTGATTGATTTCTGTCAATAAACCTCGTCACTAGCAGATGTTAACGTATTATCCATCACATACCTATATAAAAATCAACTCATATACTCCACTTGAAAACCACCGAACCACCAAAGTTAAACCGACGCGAAATACGAAAAATCGGCCTCATTTTCCATCATAAAGTGAAAAACGAAGGTAGCTACGGAACAAATGACGGTTTCAACCGCCCCCATGCCCTACAGAGGCCGCGTTATTGATCGAGGAGGCAGTGGAAATGGAAAAGAAGTGACAGCCACGCTCCTGACGCCTAACGCTGATTTCTCGCTACCGCCAGCGGTAGCGTATGGCATGCATATCGACGGACCTCGATAAGACATATCTTCTTGTAAGGAGGAAATTAAATTCCAAGGAGCTTTGCTCCACTGTTCATTTAGACCAGAGTTCCCCAAACTTTTTTGTGTCGTAGACCCCTTGCCATGTTTTTCCGAATTGGGTAGACCCCCTACTTACCTGATATTGATTTCTTGTAAATTTCTAACTGTAGTGTTAAAAACTTAAAGTAAAAACACATGTTAATTTATACATTTATTAATTTTGTATCTGTTATGTAAAATATACGTAACATTAAATAAACAGATGTCTGACCAATAAGTGCCCGCATTGGGAATAAGTGCCCGCATTGAAAAAAATAAGAGGGATAAAATAAAAAAAAAAGTCAAAAATAATAAAAAATAAGTTTTTTACTTAAAATAGTACAATAAGCGAGTTCGTTTATTAATTATAACATAAACGTATGTTCTAAAATAATTTCACTGTTAGTTTGATTAAATTCCGCTTCTTATACGTTTAAGTTACCTATCTAAAAATAGGCAAAAAATTAACGAATTTTAGTGTGTACCTATCCTTGAATTTTCAGAATAATTTAAAAAAACATATTTTCTATAAAGGGGGGATCTTTAAAAAAATCAATGCGGGCACTTATTACCAATGCGGGCATTTATTGGTCAGACACCAATAAACATAAAATAAACTATAAATAAAATAACATAAGCAATAAGTCAATATTTTTAGTGAGAAGGATGAACCTGATGCTTTAATAATAAATTATCAACATTTGGCGTCAATTTTGTAAAGGTTAAACTTAAATCTCCTCGGCTAATGATGTCCAGTCTGTTTCTTTTTTTCGTTAGGAGATTGGTAACAGCGCCGAACCCCCTTTCCACTAGGTATGACGATGGAAAGGAAATTAAAAATTTCCTCGCTATATTCCATAATACGGGATAAGTAACGGGTATGTTGTTTTGCAGCCAGAATTGCTGATATCCGTTTTTACACTGAACCTTAAATTTTTCGTTTGTACTTAGTTCAGTCAGTTCCTCTGGTATTATGATATTCGTTTCTTCTATGTCACCATATGGATTAATCATCCACGATGGAATTACCATAGTCAAAATATCCTCAAACCTAGATTCAAAATCTGAATAGAGGGCATTTAAATGTTGAACGTAAGTTGAAACGTCGTCTTCCTGGCAGCTTGTCTGTGACAAATTGGGGAACTGAGAAAATTCGCCCCGTCCAATATTTTGCTTCATTAGTTTAACTCTGGCAAGAAACGCTGATAAGATGGACTTTGTTTTAATCAAATTCAAACTGTCGCCTTGTAATTGCAAATTAACCATATTAAATTTTGTAAACAAATCTGTTAAATAGGCGATGTCTGTTTTCCTCTTCATTAAATTTTCTTTTAAAAATTTCATCTTTAGTATCCAGAAATTCTAAAATAGTCTCAAAAAGAGCAAAAAATCTTGTCAAACATAAGCCTTTCGACAGCCAGCGTACTTTAGTGTGAAGGAGTAATTGATGAAAGTGTTCGTGATTTTCTTCACACAACTGCGCAAATAACCGCGTATTCAACGCGTTGCTTCGGATTCGGTTTACTGCATCAATGACTAAATGAAGTGATTCATGCAATCTAACACTCAAATTTTTAGCAACTAAATGTTGTCGATGGATGACGCAATGTATTGCTAACACCCCTCACACATTTTGTTTTAAATAGCTTATAAATCCACGATAACGTCCAACCATGGCAGGTGCTCCATCTGTAGCTACTGATATTATATTTGATAAAGGAATTGCTTTTTCAATGAAGTAATCCTTCAAAACATGAAATATTGATTCACCTTTAGTGTCGGTTATCAAAGTTCTTGCGAAGAGCAGTTCTTCGTAGATTTCTTGATTCATAATAAAACGAACATATGCCAATAATAATGCTGCATTATCAGGTAAAGTTGACTCGTCCAGTTGTATAGAGAAATGGGTCGTTTGCAAATAATTACATAAGAAGCTTTCAATATCCGAACTCATTTCATCAATACGTCTTTCAACAGTGTTGTTGCTTAAGGGAATTCTTTTAATGATATCAGATGCAGGTTTGTGTAAAACAATTTTTAAAACCTCCTCAACGGCTGGCAAAATTAACTTCTCTCCGATAGTATGCGGTTTTCCGGATTTTGCTATAAGTAACGAGATATAGTAAGACGCCCGCAAACCATCATCATTTCTTTGTGACGTCGAAGCGAACATTTTGTCCAGTGTAGGTGTCTTCTGAGATTTATCTTTGAGTGTTTGAAAGTATTTCAAATCTTTCTCTGTTTTATCAGGGTGGCATCTTCTCAGATGATCTTGCAGTTTAGATGGTTTCATAGCGTCATTGCCCAAAACTTTGTTGCATAAAAGGCACATAGGCGATTGTTTGTCCGGCAATGATGGAATGAAGCCAAATTTCAAATAATCAACACTGTACTGTCTACATTTCTTTTTAGATTCGGACATGGCATCAGTCATCTGTGGGCAAAATTACATTATTTAAATAAGACAGAAAATCCAGCAGCTGTATATTAAAAATATTTTTTGATTTTTCCGAAAACATTCCATAATTCGAACATCTTCTTGCAACAATTAGCTCGAATTACGGAGATTGCACTGTAATTATATTACCGATTGCTAAAACTTTCTAAAAGAAACTATTGAGGAGTACTCGTGTAATTTTGCATGATTTTATATTTAACTACTAATAACTAAAGTCATGATTGACGTAATTTATCTATCCTTGCTAACTACGAGTACAAAACTAAAATTTAATAAAAAATAATGTACTTACTTTTCTCCAGCACTCTCAAACAAAATAACACTGACTCACTATAATTTGTGTGATATACTATCTGTTTATATTTTTTAACATATTTTCTTAGCACTTTCCTTTTCAAGATTCAGGAAACGAATAAACGTATTTGTCCCACTTTCATATTTATAGAGTGACGAATTGAACAAGTCAGTGCAAGGTAGCGAAGCTCTGAGACTGCGACTCTCAGGTTTTTACAAGTTCAAAATGTATTGCGACCAAAAAGCGAATACCAACATCCCACAACTTACACAATTTTATAAACGTATATAATAATTTTTTTACTTCATAGGTACTTTTATAAATAATGTATATGTTTTGATATTATAAGATAGTTTGATGTAAGTAAATAGGTACTATCAGTGTATGTGTTGAGATCCACTATCGTGGACCCCCATATTCATTTCATGGACCCACAATTTTTTTTTCGCTGACGTAGACCCCTTGCAGGTTGTCATAGACCCCTAGGGTTCGATATAGACCACTTTGGGAATCAAGGATTTAGACGAAGAGAAAACAGCGCATACGTTACGTAAAATTTTGTGACTCGATTTTTACTTCTATCTACCTACCTACCTACCTACTGGTGCAATTGCCTAAAATTTTGATAATGAGATATTGTTTTTTGGATGGCATAAAACATGTAAAAAATACCTGAACCTTAAATTTAAGGGTAATATTTTCTGTTCTACCATCTTTGCTGTAGGCTCGAAGGTTTCCGTAAAAAATACATCGTATCGTCGAAACCGCTGAGCCGATTTTAACAAGCTTAGGCTAGTTGAAAAGGGCTATTCTTGGGCTACAAGTATTATAATATTTAAAGTTTTGTTAGTTTCACATGTAGCCGCTAGAGCGCTTTCTTCAGCATTCCGACAGAAATGGTCAAATTTCTCGAATAAATTAACTACATTGGTATGATTTTTTTTATGAAAGAATAGCAAAATGATGTCTAAACAAGCTCGCGAAAACCGCATCTCGATATCTTGTTCCTAACTTAAAATTCAATCCAAAAAAAATTTTGTACGGAAATCCCTTAATTTTTTATTTTTAAGCAATTTTTTCTGAAATTTCCGTTAATTATTAAGGTGTGGCGCTAAAAATTCTTTCATATCTTCTCTAGTTGTAGGTTGAGTCTTAAACACGATGTCCTTTATCCGTCCTCATAAATAAAAATCAAGGCTATGGAAGCAGACTTCCTCTCCCAATCCACCGCTGTTGAAATACTGCATTAATATGCTCTCGCACAAGTTTTGCCGTGTTTCCTCCAAAAAGAACGGTAATTGATTGTCCAGAAAGTCAAGAAGAACATTGTCATTTAGGGATTGCTCAAAAAAATATAGCCACACCACACATCCAACGCGCTTGGTGCTAAACTTCACGCAACCAATGCGGATTTTCTGCAGACCGATAGTGCCTATTGTGCAGATTGACCCTCCCGTCACTATCATCGGTCCAAAGAATGTTTAATAAAAATTCTCTATTCTCCCGTATAATACTGTGACGATAACAGATAGTACTGTTAGTTCCATCTGTTGGGAGACTCTCCTACTCGCCAGAGCTTCATTGCCGATCCCTGCTTTTACGCGGACCACGACCGCACAAGCCGCTTCGCGACATCTGCTGAGGACCGTACCAATGATTCGCCTTCTAGATCGACAGGAAGTGACCTCGAATATTCTAGTTGTCACTTTGTGGCTCGCCAGACCTTTCTCGAAGCAGCGATGGGGACTATACATATATAACTCGATGGCCGAGAGATGGGAGTACGGTAGAGTAGCAGAGCGGCACGGGTATCATGTAAAAATTCTATAAAACGCCAAAAAAAAATCTATAAGATGTCAACTTGCAGACTAGGTAGTTTTTAGGGCGAAAACATTCCACGTTCGCTCACTAGGATCGTTGTGAACGTCCATCTAGGGAGAAATCACTCATCTAAACTACACGCATTATTGGTTGCATATGTTTTGTGAGGCCAAATGGTCCTTGTTTGTAGTTTTTATCTCTGAGAAGAAAGTTGGTTGAATAGCAAGATCGCATCTGGATGATTATGTGTATTGGTCTGCATGTGTATAAAATCTA